TCTTCTGGAATGCTGTAATGCAGTTTGATCACAGAACACATTCAACTACAGAGGTACTTTTCATGCTCTAAGAGGTTATTATCACCTCAGTTAATTATCTGTAAGGATTCAGGCTCTGGCAAACCTTAATTATCCTTCCATCAATCTCATGCTCACAAAAGCTTAGTAGGGCTATTTTTAGCAGTACAAATATCTCCTTCCTGAATGGAAAAGCTGCTCTTTTTCTTGCATATCTTATTTTTAAATGTTAAACACATTAGACAGAACCAAGAGGGTTTTCTTCCTCTCTTAGAAACCATCCTAAGAATGTATAATCCTTAATGGATGTGCTAAAAACAATACTATCTTCAGACCTGAATGTATGATGTTAGAAATCTGGTATGGGGATGAGGTAAAAATGATCAGAATGGGGTGCTTGAAGTCCACATTTAATCCTACAAAATATGCAATTGGGAGAGCAGTTTGATGCCCAGAGCATTCCAGTGGACAGGTGCCTAAATAAGTCTTCTCATCCAGCGCCTGTTAGGATAGGGTTTGAACCTCTGGGCACTGGCATTATATGCTTGATGTAGGAATAACAACAGCTTCATTCATTCAGAGCACTACATTCATCAACCCTTTTGTTTCTAGCTCTGAGGGTTGTGATGGGATCTCTGAAGGCATCAACTGAACATGTACCAGTGCAGCTACTCTGCCTGAAACTCCAGGCAGCTGGAAACAGCATTATTGAGGAGGCTGTCCCTCAGTGAGGTGTTTACTCTGGAGCTTAATGATGAGCATTGGACTGTCTCACTTGTTAGTCTTTTGAACAGAAATAGCCAGTAAACATGCCTTGAGGCCCAGCCTGCTTCCCCAACACCATAAACCACATTTGTTTAAATCATAAACCACAAAAGCCAGTACTATCTTCTCTGATAATGTTCTTATGCTGCTGTGTCGAGACCCTGAGAAGGAAACTTGAAAAATGAAAGGCTTGCTCAGTATGGCAAGATCTGTTAGCTAGTAGGTATTCTGGTAGCAACTCTGATGCACTCTTAGGAAAGGAGAGGATTTTTTGAACTTGAGGTATTGGAAATTATTGCTGGATATGTTACACATTTTTCTCTGTGCCTTTGGGTGAAGTGCTTTGGTCTTAATTTTGTACCAGGAAAGAAGAGTGTAGATACTGAATTCAGTGGGATGTGGATCAGGACCCTTGTCACTCAGTAATTTTGCAGTTTCCCATCTGGGTGGAAATTTTCTTTAAAACCTCACTGTTTCAATTCACAGACTTTGAGCACTCCACAGAGGTTGTCCAAAGGAAGCTTCCCAGGCTGCACAGATAGGATGTATCCTGCTGCCCTTCCCAGGTCTCTGCCTCACAAGCACACCACCTTGCAGGTTGGATCTCACTCCCTTGCAAAAACATTTTGAGGTTCCAGGGCAGGGAAGGACTCCTTAGTAAGGTTTTTTGGCCTGAGTGACACCAAAGTGTGAACTATGCAAACACACTCTGGGAACTGCAATATTTTGGTTTTATGCCACTAACAAGGATGCCGGTTCTCTATGTTTAGATCACGTCTCCTGCAGTGCTCTCTCTAAACAAGTGGCTCTGCAGTGGCTCTCATCTCATCTGGTTTTGCTTGTGACTTCAAATTATTACTGTAAATCAATTATAATTTAAGCATAATATTCTGCATCTCCATGATATGTGTATCCTGATGTGAAGTTTGGTGACAAGGGAGAAAAAGGAGGGGAAAAGAAACCATTATCAGAATTTTGTTTGAAAGTCAGAGCAATAAAAAAAACCCTGAAAATTTCAAGGTAACCCTGATTCTTTCTCCACTTGTTATGTTTTCCGTCCTTACTCATAACTCTAGGATTCCTTCCCAACCTCAACTTAAGCAATATTGACAGGAAAGGATTATCCGCTGGAATTTGACATATTTACATCTAGAGAGTGCCAAAGGAAAGTCTTTCTGAGTGGAACAAAGCCGGCCTTATTTGAACTAGCTTCTTCCTCTAGAATTGTGGATGGACATCAGGGTGAGGCCCAGGAGTTAACTGTATGATAAATATTTCCTCAAAACTATTTTTTTCTAAATAGGATACACAGTAAAATGAGAGACTGCTTCTTTGGCTTTTATTCCTGTCACAGTGAAACTGGAATCACTTGAGAAAAGATTTGTCCCCTTGATGCTAAGCACAGCATCAAGATAGCATCATGTTGGAAAATATTTTGAGATGTATTATTTGCATATCCGTGGCAGCCAAGGGAACACCTGCTCCATAAGCTGCAATATAAAAAAAAAAAAGGCAGAGTTCAGGGGTCTCTTTGTCTGAGGTCTAGCAAGCTACAACTGTGATGCTGTATTAACTCTGAATAGCTCTGGGGTTTAGTATTTGCATTATAAATGCAGGAATTATCGAGCTCTGCTCACATAAAGAGATTTCCAAGTTCTTTCACTGTGTGCATGAGCAAGCACTGACTCCAGAGAAGTTACATTATGTTGCAATAGATTATGTACTAGACACTCTGGAGAGGTTCTGCTATGTGACCAAGCAGAAAATACATTTCTTGCTTTGGTGTTCAAGACAGAATTGCCCTTTGAGCATCCTCGGACAGTGTTAGATCAAGTAGGTTCTTGGGCAAAAGAATCACTTTCTTTGTTCTGTGACCACCTCATGCCGGGATTTAAAAATAATTGTACACAAAGTCCCGAGTGTAAATATTCTGACTCTGATTTTTGGCACCGGTGCATTTCTGCTCATGGCTGGTGGACAGTGACATGCACGCAGGAAGGCCAGGACAAGCACTCAGAGGACCAACAGGGATTATCATCTCACGGTGCAAAGTATCACATACAAGCTGATATTAAACCCAAAACAACCGCAGCTTCCCCTTACCTAACCATTTATAAACCAAGCTGATGACGACACGATAAATGGGCCAGGGATCACTTATTAGCAAAATGGCAAAAAAGCTGCAGTTGCTTCTAGAATCAGCCCAGCAGAGGATGAGGGATATTTTGGGGCGGGGGGAGGTAATAGTGTAATAGGGCAGGAGAGCATTAAACAGGGCACACGGGCGGGTGCCGCGGAGGGACCTGGGGAGAGAAGTGGGGGGGCAGCTGGCGCCTGGCCTTTGCCAGCCGAAGGCGCCGGGCCGGGCATCTTTCCGAGCCCTGCCTGGAGAAGGAATTCCAGAGGCTCGGACGGGCGGGAGCACAGCCCGCCCGCCGCCACCGGGGGGCGCCCGCCGCCACCCCTGAGCCGGGCCGCGCCCTCCGCCCCTGACGGGGCTCGTCCTTCACTTCATCCCCCCCTTCCCTTCAATCCTCCCTCCGCTTTTCCCGGGTCTAAATAGGCCCAGTTTTTCAGTCTCTTCTCTTGGAATATCTTACCTTTGATCATCACCAGTTTTCTCCTGGAGGGTCTCTCCAGCCCAACCACTCCTTTGCTGCAGTGCTTCAAACTGGACAGAGCCGAGCAATGTTTTTGGGCTGCTGTGGTGTTTGTACATCTCAGACAGACTTTTCTCCCGTGGTCATTTAACTTCTCTGCAGTTTTGTTTACAGTACCAGCTATGTCAAATAAGATGATAAAAAGACTAAATCACTAATCCATGTTTTAATGAAACTTCTAACACACGCATTTAGGCCACCAGACACCCTTCTTGGTTATTTCACTTGAGGCGGTGATTGAAACCCTGCTGGGAGAAGTCCAGGCAGCAGCACAAGATTTATCTCCACATTTGCAAACACAGCTATTTGGGCAAGCCCTTTCAAGAGCAATCAAGTCCACATTGCCTCAGTGCAATGGTTTCTCCCTGCATGAGAACTGAAAATGAAGGCAGACGTTAATGAACCAGCTAGATCAATACCTCATCAATCAGGTGGACAGTTTCAGCTGAAATTTGTTACTGTAACGGCACATTACTGATGAACTACTAATAATATAAAGGAACACTGGTAATAGAGTGTCTTGCTTGAGACCTTCTCTACTATTTTATTACAAAGTGCAAGAACAACAGGAAAGGGCAGCACTAGGACTGCACGTGCTCTGTGAGCATTTAGGAGGGAATTAGAAAATGTTTGTATCGGATGAAAATGTCAAGCCAAATATAAAAACTGAACTTCCAGCCTGCCAAGGGATCCTTGTCTCTGTGCCTGCCTCCAGACACATCATTATTTATGGAGAATTATTATTCTTAGTGAAAGAAATAATTTTAATAGCTTGCCATAAAAATTAAGTTACTAGAAGTGTAAATAGTAATTTTTTTTAATCTTTGAGATCAAATACAGCCCTACTGCACTGCTGGCTTTACAGCCTAAGTTCCATTATCATGCAGCTACTACCCTTTAAAGTCACTTTGTGCCCTTTGCCAGCTTGTTGTCAACACGTTGTATCAAATATCTTTAAACGCAAGAGCTTGGGTGCTCACCTGCCCTGTTGAGCGTATGTATTTTAGTAACAATTAGCTACTTCTGTGACTTCAGCCTCAAGAATTTCCAGGATATGATGATGCCCATACTCCTGAAAACACCCTTTCCCAAACTTTCGAAAGGCAGACATCCATCATGCACCTGGTATCAGTTTATGGGCCTTACAATCCAGCATTCAAAGCTAAGCAGAAGGAACAGCTTTGGAAAGACTGCACAGGTTCTTGCAGCACATTGTTTCTGTTCTACATGCTTTGGGCATGGTGAAAGTCTTACCAAGGCCTCGCTAGTGTGTCTGACATGGCGCTCATTCATTGCATAGGTCATGTATTTCACACCTCACAACCACCATCTTGGGCTTCCAAGCCCAGGAGTCAACATTGCTGTGTTGATCTGACTAAAGCCCCGTTTTCAAGAATGGGCTTGTAACCACAAGAGGTAAGAGCACCTCCACATCCCCCCATGGCAGCTGAGACCAAATGCAGGGCTGCAGCACATCTGCTGCTTCCCCAAGCCCTTTCCTCTACCCCACTAGAAGCATCCTGGGAAACACAACAGTAAGTAAGCAGTAATCAAAAAAAATGTGCAAAGAATATTCCAAATGTTTATTATGTATTAAAAATACTGCAAATAAGCCATACAATTAATTTCACAGTAACCTAAACAACATTGTTCAAGAACTCGAGAAGTCAACAAAGAACAGTGCACTTCCAACAGTGACAACAGTTACCTTAATGCCATGGGTCCCTCTTTCTTTGCCAGCAATCCTTTCCTGTTTATAGTGGGAACAAAACTAGATATGCTTCAGTATCTTATTTACCTAGGAGAACTCCTTTTCACCTGTGCTGTTCCCACAAGCACATTACTTCTGGGAGATGTAATTTCTAGGAATTCTTCATCTAACATAGTCAAGGATCTATCTAGTGCAGGCTGAGGTGGGCATGATGCCCATGACCTATTTCCAAGGTATTCATGTGCACACTCCTTTACCAATTCTTTGGAAAGAGTTCAAAAGTAAACTTGAAATACTATAAATCCTCTCCAAAAAAACAGAAATCCAAAAAACCTCCATGAGAAAGTGTTTTTTAAAAGAGCATCTAGAGAATTATGACACTTCCTCCTCACTCTCAGCCATCTCCTAGAAGGATCCTTTGCTACCAATGCCCCAGCCTGATGACAAAAATGGTGACAAGAATCAGGCACCAAGTCCTGAATATGTAACAAGAGTTCAGGTCACTGTCAGCTGTGTGAAAACTTGGAAACGTATATGCCATAGAAGCAATTCTGCTGATTTCATGGTGATTTTCCTTCTTGTGTGTTTTGGAGCGTATTATTATTGTTGTTAGCATGCTTGTTATATATGGAACACAACGGGTGCAATTTCGGTCCTTCTCTTTTCTCATTCAAATCTGTGATCATTTTTACAGAGAAATCCTGTATCAAAGACCAAATTAGGCCTACCCAGGAAAGACACAGCTTCATCATGTAAACAGTCTAAAAATATGACAAAAGTAATTAACCCCATCCTTCCGATGTCCCTTCCAAGCACCAACCTTCTGCACCAGCAGCTAAAGATGCTGGCAAAGAAGCCTGTGATCACAAAGAATCAACCTCTCCAGCCACGTGGTGGAACCCATCTCTTAGGCCTTAGCCCCAAGCAGTGCCGCTTACCTCAGACTTGTGTTAGCTCCCGGTACAGATTAGGGACTCACAGAAATCTACTACAGCTCAGCTGACACCTGGTAAACTGGACACATGGCCGAGTCCCCAGTGCTAGAAACAGATGAGGTGCTTCAAACGTGCTCCACACTTAAATTTACCACAGTAAATAGTTTAAGACAGGGTGTAGTTTTGCTCATTTGTTTCTGAAGCCAAAACATACCAGTAAAATCCTCAGTGTGTACAGCAGTGTGCTTTTGGCACCAGAGCAGCTGCAGCCCTCCTGTGGGGGATATCTGGTGTCATAGTGTGAAACACCTTCCTGCCATTAAATGTGTGCCCATGCTAACGAGGCTGTAATGCCTTAGTTACACCATTACAGTTACAGCGGTACAACTTTATAGAGAAGACGAGCCCTTAGAAACTCAACCCCCAACTAAACTCGTGTTTTCTTAAAACAGAATTTAAGGAAAAACAAACAAACAAACAAACAAACAACCCCCCAAAACACTACACAGAAGAGATATAAAGGAAATAAGCAGAACTGTCTCTATTATTAAAGTATTCTCATTCTCTTTGGAGGTATCAAATTGCTTTTAAAAAGAGTAAAAAAATGGGGCATACAAAAGCTATTTTCCTTTATCCATTATGTGCCCAAGAAGCACTGCTGCCTAAACTTTTTCATGTATTTTTTCTACTTTCACAAACAACCTTTCCAGATCATTCCTCAGGTCATCTATTGAGCTCTTCACAGACTCTAAGTTGTTCTCATTACTTTCTATTTTCACTGAGTAGGCGACTAAACTATCCACTGCAGTTCTTATCATTTTCAAATCGGAATCAACCTGGCTAACAGAAGATCTCAGTTCATCTACAGAGCCTTCCACAGAAGAAAACTTTTCAAGGTAGCCTTGAGAATGTGCTTGATCTGCCTGAAGATTTCCTTGATCCAACAAAGTACTAATTTGCTTCTGGACATCCTGGAGAGCATCAGAGGATGGCAGGTCACTGATGCTTCTCCTTAAGTTTTCCACATCGTTGTACAGCGAGGTCTGTGCTTCACCAAGACTTTTCAGAATGTCTGTGACTGAAGTTACATCAGTGTTTGAGAGACCCTGAAGGGTACTAATGCTTTGTTGTAGGGTACTGAGTTTATTCTCATATTCTGCCTCCTTAGAAAAGAAAGATTGCAACTTTTCACTGCTTTGAGCAGCAACAGAAGTTAGAGACTCCAGGCTGTCTTCTATATGCCTCAAGCGAGACTCCAGTCCTTCACTGTTCTTCCCAAAAGTTTCTAATGCTCTTCTGAAGAGTTCATTATCTTCCCATTTGTTGAGGTCAGCTTTAACTTGCAGTAAATCTTCATCAAGTCTTTTAATGTCACTAGGGAGCTGCATAATTGAATCCTCAGCTCTCAGAACTTTCTCTTGTAAAGCTTTTAATGACAGGTGTTCAGTGTCTGCAGCCTCTTTGAACTTCTCATGTTCTTGTTTGAGGTTGACTAGCTCTTTCACTTCAGTATAGACATCAGACTCCATGGAGTCTATTGTACTCTTCAAGGTCTCTATGTCCTTTTCTTTGATTTTCATGGATGCTTGCATCTCATCAAAAGCATCTTTTAGCACCTTAATTTCATGTTTATACACATCTGCCTGTTCTAGTGAACCAACCTTTGTTTTCATATTATTGATTTCATCTTGGCTCCTTTGCTGGACTTCAGTGAATACTGCAATGTTATCATTTATAGATTTTGTTAACTCTGTTAGTCTCTCTTCCACTGTGTTTTCCAGAGATGTGAAGTCTCGCTCCCTTGCATCCTTCACCATGTGGATGCCATCAGACAAGTCTTTCAAAATTTCATTTTGCAGCTTCTGAAGCACTTCACTGATCCGGTTTATTTCACTCTCCCCTTGTTTAACAGCCTTCTCGGTAACCTCCTGCTTCTGCTGCACAATTTTCATCATGGATTCAAATTCTCCAAATGTGGTTTGAAGAGAACGTACCTAAAACAAAAATACACATGGTTAGTACCTGTAATTTTATCCTTTCCCTTTTGATCCTTACAGTCCTTGTTACCAAAAAAATGATCAATTTGCAATCCTTCGTGCTCCCTACCTGAAGTGACCCTATGGCATACAGGTATGGGAGGCATAAAAAGGCCGGCTTCTAGAGCCTTACAGCTCTATTATAGATACATACACCTTCTGCTGAGGATCCCTGGCCTCACTGACCTGTCATAGACGATCCAGCAAGTCCATGGCAGTGAAAAAGGAATTCAAGTCTCCAGACTTTGCATACAGACCACAAGTCCATAAGGGAGGAAAGGGAGGGGGGATAAAAAAGCCAAAAGAACATCTGGCATCAGCTTCTGAATATAGAAAAGCTGGGATTACACTTTATCAGGCAATAATACCAAAGTCCAATTCCTGATCATGAAAAATGAGTTTTACAGTAGACAAAAAAGAGCGACAGGAAAAATTAGGGGGAAAAGAGAGCTAGGATGGACTGAGGAATGGCAGCAGTAATCATGACATTTTCCTGCTACGAGACACCAATGACGACACAACAGATTTTTCTTGTTGAGTATTTTTTAAAATAAAAAAAATTAGAAAGGCTTTAATGTTATAAATACTTAGTACCTCATTATTCTCGCTCCTGCACACACCCACGTGCTCTCAGTGAACAGGGCTCACCCCTGTACACAGGCAGAGAACAAAGGTGCAGCAGCTGCCAAGGGGCCTGCCTTGCATCCAGCTCAGGCTAACAGAAAGTTGCTACCACTGGATCAGGTAGGCTATTAAACCTCCCAATTACAAAAACTATCTTCACAAGTGGTTTTGGTAGCAGGAAGAGGGAGAAGGTCAAGGGGTGAGCGGCCACCACATTCATTTACTTTCACGTTCAAAGAAGTCTCAAACAGAGAATTACTTCATTTTGAGGCCAAGCAGAGTATGAGTCTCAAGACTGATGGGTGTGTGGGTTGTACCTTTTTCAACTTTGTAAAGACACGTAAGAACTCCCACTGGCTGCAACAGGAATCCATCACAGAGAAAATACCTCGAGGCTTTGGCAGGATGGCAAGTGCTGAGTAATGCATGTTGCCTTGCCTCATACTACTCCCTGTGTCTAAGGGGTATATTAATCAGTCGTGCCACATGCACTGCCATGTTTACTGATTAGATACACAGCTGGAGGGGTGGTTTTATTTTATAAATAGAAGTAAGTATATTTTATACAGTCTTGGAAAGAAACATACAGAGCTCTCTCTTTTTTCTTTGCAACTGAAGGAAGCTCCAGCAGTTCCCAGTCTGACTCTGAACCTAGAAATTGTTTTCAAAAGACCTAGCAGGCCTCCTAACTAGAAATTAAGTTATTGTTATGTATTTTTACAAATCCCTGGCCATATCCTCTTTAGTTTTCATGGAAGTCTACATTGTGTAAGGATTGTAGAGTTTGCCATGAGACTTGCCCTTGCTTCAACAGATCACTCCACTTTGAGGAATATCCATAAAGGTGACATCTTTTTTCCTACTCTTCTGTAAAAAGGTTTCTAATAATTTTACATTCCCTACACTGACATTTCAGCGTTCGACAATTCTCTAGTGCTCCCACACCAAACTAGAAATGAGCTAAGGAGAAGGGGTGGAGAAAGTAGTACTGCCATACACATTGAAGCTGGGCACCAGCTATTAGACAGATTTACCAACCTCATTTTCATTACATCTTAGTTGTCATTCATTCTGATTCTTTCCCCAGAGAGGTTATTCTGTATCACTCTAAATGGACTTTAGAAATCTTACGGGAGGGCACAGGAAAATTCTCCCCCTCTTATGATAGAATTTATTTTCTTTCATGCACTCCAACTAAATCATCAAATTTGTATTTGCAAGTAACTATCTTCAATTGTTAGTCTAAGAAAAGGCATCAGAAATAGTCAGAATGCTCCAGAGGGCCAGGTCCCTGCTGCTGTATGACTGATAGAGACAGATCCCATTCCTCCACAGTGGAAGTACCTGCTCCTCCACTGCCTTCAGGCAACGCTCATGGTGTAAAAGTTGAAGCTATTCTCCCACACTTCCAGCTGGACCAGCCACTTGGAGATCAGTGAGCTCTGATATAATAAAATGGGTCTTCAAATTAGACCAGCTTCTAATCTGATATGTCCAAAATAAGAGCCACCAGGGCCCAAAGCAAACCCCTTGCACAAGAGGGGTAAAACTCACAACTTCAAAGCAGTAGTTCATATTCACTACGCAGTGGTTTGTGTGTGCACCTGCATATGAGTTTGCCTGTTTGCTGTACCTGGCTGGTAAGGTTTGAAGCTATAGCCCTTGAAATATTTAACATCGCATATAGGATATAAAAATGTATCTACAGCTAACGACTGTGTCTTCCCTAACTGGTCATACTATCTCGTGTTTAAACACTAAACGACCTTGGCCTCTCTGAGAATGGTGCTACCTTAACGACTAAACTGCCACATCATTTCCTTTCTCCTTGATGTGTAAAGCAGATGAGTTTACACAATGCTTACTCCTGACAGGAGCTCCCTGCAGTCAAAGACTGAAGGGCAAAGCCACACAGCAACCTGCACTGACCACTTTCTGCAAGTACAATGCAAGATCCTTCACCTCTGTAAAGCAATGAAATACAGACTGGTCTCCCCTCCTTCAAGTACATTCTTCTGTAACGATAACACCAAACCCACAGCAAGCAAAACTTTCAAGGTTACACCGAAACTCTGTGTGACCTCTTTCGCCCACCTTTAATTCTTGCACTGCTGTATGTCTAACATCAGCCATCTGCTGTACACAGGCAAATAAGTTTCAGTTTTCTTTGAAATCAACTATTTATAAACTTCCTAGAATATAGGAAGTTTATAAATACACCTATATTTACAGTATATACTCTCTTAGAATATGTAACATGTACCTATGATTTTCTGCAATGATATGGAGATGGGAGGCAGCAAATTGTACCCGTTCCTTTGCTTGGAAGTGCTTATATACTGCCCATACATCTGGGTTCTATACTCATGTACTATAGTTTTACATCTTGCAATTGCAATTTCTTCCTTCCTACAAACAGTCTATAAAAATGCCTTAAAAACTAGTTAAAAGCAACCTTTGCTAGTTCCAATCATGGCCCTGTCAACAGTGAGTAAAACCCCCACGATTTAAAATTAGCTTCAGAAACAGCACTATAGCCCTGAATTTTACACCACCTTTCCCGTCCTCACGCAAGTTTTCCTTTCCCTTCTCACTGTATGGGAAACACCAAGACTGACCTCCACGTGTGCAGGCTGCTGTGCTTGTGGAAGTACTACTGAACAGGATCTCTGAGAGTGCCTGTCCCCCTCCCTGTCCCCCCATCACCAGACCAGGCCCAAGCTCGCAGGGAACACAGGGAATCTGCATGGTTTGCCATGCAGAGAGCAGTCAAGCTGAGACAAAAATTTCCTTTTCTTTGATCTGACTCAGTCATAACTTTACATACTGCCTTCCAACCAATTTACCTACTCCCTAGACAGGAGCCTGGTCGCATGTTGATGATATGCATTCATAGATGCCATTTTTGAAGGTTTTAGGCACCCTAAGATGTATTCAGATGGCCAGCGCTGTTTGTGAAACTCTAGATGAGAGGCTAGTCAGGGCCTGAGTGAAAAAAATGAGGAGGGAAATGAGCATTTATTTCACTTCACTTGAGCCACACCCTGTGCCAACAACTTCACGGCTCTTCCAGGGTCCTGGACTGCCTTGAACACTGCATCTCACTCCCTTGGCCGGAGACAGCAGCAGGAACGTGGGAGGCAGGGTACAGCAGGAGCAGCGTTTCTGGCACAGCCTCTGCTGCTCGGTGAAACTGACATGGGTTTTGTTTTCTAGAGCGTGTAGAGACATCGAGACAGGACCCTGCCACGTCTGACGGCGCTGCCACACCGTGTCCCTTGGCACACACGGCTGCCCGCCCGATGCGGCAGCAACGAGCCGCCCCGCTGGGCTGAATGATTTTCGGGCCTCGGAGATTCAGAATTACGGGCCGCAGGCTCTCTCGGACCGGCAGGTCTGCACCGCTGCCAACACGTAAGCGTGCGGGCTGCATTCCATAAAATGGCTTCAGGCCCAGGCCCTGGAAAAGCGAGCTGGGGGCTGCGCCCACCGCCGCGGGGTCCCGTCCCGCCCCGTCCCGCCCAGCTCCGCCGCCTGGCAGGGATTTCTTGCTGCACTGAGGCCACGTTTGCAGGCACGGGGGAAACCGCGGCCCTGACTCCATCTGCCCCTCTAATGCCATGAGAGCATCTTTGCGGGAGCACAGAAGGCGATAGGAGGGCCGGGGGGGGAGCAGGACAGATTTGCCTTCCCGCAAGCCGGGCCATGCGACCGAGGCCCAGCTCCTCATTCAAGGGGCGAACCCCACGTCCTACCCCCCGCCCCACCGAGCAGCAACCGAGCGGCCCGACGGCGCCCGGCCCCCTCCCGCCCGCCCCCGGCGGTGCCCGGTGCCGCGCTACCTTCTGCACCACGGCGTCCAGAGTGCCGGCCAGTTCCTGCCGCTGCCGGACCGAGGCCTCCATCTCCCGGGCGCTCCGCCCGACCTCCTCCCGCAGCTGCTGCACGTACCAGCCGGCGGGCAGAGCGGCTCCCAGCACCACCGCGGCGCCCAGCAGCAGCGCCCAGCCGCGCCGGGGGCCGGCGCCGGAGCGGCCCCCCCCGCCGGCCCTGCCGCCCCGGCCGTGCCCCGCCGCCGCCGGCTTCTTCGCCGCCGGCTCCTCGGCGCCGCCGGGCTGCGCGCCCTTCTCGTTGGCGGCGGCGGGCGGGCTGCCCCCCTTCGCGCCCCGGTGCTTGGCGGCCGACATGGCGGGACGCCGCCGCCGTCGTGCGGAGAGCGGGAGCAGCGGGAGCGGGCGAGGGAGGGAGGCAGGATGGAGGGAAGGCGGGGGCGCCGGCCCGGGCAGCGCCGCACTCACCGCCCCGCCCCGGCCCCCGCCCCGGGGAGCCGCCACGCACACGGGGATGGGCTGCGGTCCGGGCCGGGGGGCAGACGTGGCGCACACGGGGCCCGCGGGAGGCAGCGGGACAGGGGAGCGGCGGGCGGGACGGAGAGACGGCCCCTGCCCCACCCCGCAGTGACAGACCCTCTGCCGGCCGCGACACCTGGCGCGGGGCTCTGGGAGCGGGGTGCGCCAGGGCCTCCACACTCGCAGCCTCCGGCCCCCGGGTGTCCCCCAGCCCAGCCTGGTCCCGCTGCCAGTGTTTTAGCCCTCCGTGAAGTTTTGGGTGGCAGAGCACAGCGGCTTTGCGCCGACGCAACTTGTGTACTGCTGGGTTATGATTTTGGCTGGAGTGACTGCAGCAGCTCCGGAGTGGCTGAGAGCAAGGCGTGGAGAAAAAGTTCTTTTCTCCATCCGCAACCCTTCCATCCCCCATCCCGTTTCTAATAGCTGTAGAGCAGAGACTTGGCATCGGGCTGGTCCCTGGGGCTCCCAGCAGCTGCCCTGGCTGGCAGGAGCGCTCCTGGCCCGACACCAGTGCCCACCGCTCACAGACGGCTTTGTCCGAAAGGGAGAGGAGGCTCAGCACCGCGAGTGCCCGCGGAGCCTTTCCACCCGAGCGTGCTCCTTTTCCTCCCCACGCCGACAGTAGCCCGCTGCCTTCATCTTCCCGATGGAGCGAGTCCCGGCCCAGGACAGGATAGGGAAGGCTGAGCAGGCCTTCTCCCTGCGCCGCTGGCTCCAGCTGGAGCCCCGTGTGCGCAGCACAGGCTCCCGCTTGAGTTCTTCGTGCTCTCCGTTTTTCTCCTGCGAATGAAGAGGCGGAGGGAGGTGAAAGCTGAGTGATTAGCACATGCCGGCAAGAAAAGGAGCGTAGGGAAGGAGAGAGCGGGGCAGATCAGAGGGATAAGGTGATGATGGTTCAGGAAACAGTTTATTGTGCATTATATTAATCAGCAGTCAATGCGGGGGGGGGGGGCGATGCATCTGATCGTGTTGCTGAGGATCCTTATGGAAAAGAACTGGGTGGGCTTCAACTCGCAATTTTAGGGCACTGGTAACAGAGGGTTGGATATTTCTACATGGTGGAAAGGGGAGGAGAACGTGCACTACACCTCTCTTCAGGTAAAATGGAGATAGCATATGGGAATTACTTTAAAACTTCTTTTGAAAATCCCATAGATTTTCCAGCATCACAGAGAGCTGCTTAAAACCTTTTGAGAAACTGAGTAGTTGTGTCTTAAATTGTTATCATAGACTTTCTTGATTGTGGAAACTTGAAAAATATGACATTCTCCTGTCTGCCTGCTGCTTTGGACCAGACTATAAGACAGGTTAGCACAGAAAAACTTAACTGTTTCAAAAATACATCTTGACTTCATCAGTGTTGTCCTTCAGCCCAAACTGGCTAATGTAGTGACTATCATCTGACAGACATCTAACTGCTCTGCCAGGTCACTGATGCGTTTTAGGGTGGTTTGGGTCTAGACCCTTATTGTGGCTTACAGGGGAAAGATTTGTTTGTAACATTTTATGTGAAGTTGTCCACACATGCACAGTACACGGCCAAGGTGTGCCACCTCATCTGATTATTGTAACTAGGTTACAATTCTGTGAATCTTAATTTTTACAAGAAGGGACTGGGACATATTTTCTTATAAGCGTAATAGATAAATTGCAGGCAACAGCAATGCATTTTTTAATATATTTTTAATACATTTTTTAATATACTAGCTGATGGAGTAGATTGCACTTGTATTTGCTTCGCCATCTTCAGTTCTTGAGTCCCTGTGCTGATGTCTCATTCACTGTTTCCTCTGAAACTGGAAGCCGTGTTTATCCTCTTGTTCCAAAACTCTGTTTCATAAAGTGCCTGAAAATTCAAAGGAAGATGCATATTGGAAGTTGCTATTTAGGAGTTAATAGAAGATGACTTGCAATTAGGTGGAGTTTACATGTTGCTGGAAGCTTCTGTGAGGCACATGAATTCAGGATTCTGGCCCTAAGACAGTGCTGTAACAGCATCCCATGTAACAGAGTTTGTACTGGAGAATCCTAAAAGTCTAAATCCTAAAAGCCAAAAAACATGGTAAAAATCTTCTCCACTGCTTGGTCCCTGCACTTCCCTGTGTTTCAAACAGAAAACAGCAGAACAGAATAGAATAGTTTGGGTTGGAAGGGACATACAACAATCATATAGTTGAACTGCCTGACCAAGGAGACTACTCAGTTTCTAGCATCTCCTTTCTCCTATCCGATAGACATGCTGAGTAGTAAGGGTGTCAGGACGGACTCTCAAGGACTTTTGAAAACTGGCTTTCATATCATTACAGGACAATCATTCAACAAAGTATGCTGATCCCATATTGCCCCTTTCTTTCACAATTATTAAGACTAGAGACACTTCTATAGCAGACTTCTATTACTGCCTCTGCCTCGCATTCTCTCAAGGGTTTCATGACTAGGATCATGCAAATCAATTTAGACCTGGACTAAAAGCAACCAGCCAGTACTAATGGTGGTAGTTTCAAAAGGATTTGTTGTTTTTTTAAGAACAAAGCAATGAAAATTTTTGGCAACCGGTTTCTCCCTCAGACATGTAATGCCTCTTCTGTATTTTAATCTTTCTAGCTAAAGCTAGCTTTTAAAAAGTCTGTATTCATGTTCGTATCCTTAATATTTGCCCATATTAAAGATCTGTGTGAAACAAAAGCAAATTCTGTTCAAGACACAGAGTCAATGAATGAAAATAATGCTTTAAGGCTCTACTGGGCCTTCTGGGCAATGATCTTAGAAATGTAGCTTCAGTGTCTCTAAGTCATAAAAATCTCAGTAGCAACAAGCTCTTTACAATCCTACACTTAGGCTGCTGAATTGTTAATGCAAATTCAATTCATTTCTTTCTCATGCTTTTAACACTGAAATGTTTGGCCAAGAGGCATTCCACAACTGGAAGTTCATTACATTAATATGTAAGCCGTAACTCCTCACAAGATAAAAACTTGAGGCACTCATGTATCTGTTTCTTTGTTTGATTACAGCAAGAAATCAAGTTTTGTCTTGGAAGACCTTTTCTTGGTCTTTCCTTTAATTACAATACATTCTTTCTATAGAGAGATACATATATATAAAACTTTAGACTGAGTATTATTTAGAAAAAGGGAATCTTAAAGCTAGCAGAATGAGAGCCCCTGATGGCACCCTGGCCATGGAAATACAGTTCCATTCAATACTTCTGCCAAGGCTTAGGGTGAACTGAACTGTTTGGTCTGTACATGGTGTTCTAGTGAGTAACTACTAGAATGGGTGAAAAGAGCAGAATTTATAGTGAATTGTCTCAGGTATTTTGTCAGCACAATTCTGTCAAATACACAGACCTGAGACCAAAAGTCAGTAGCTGTAGAGGATGTTGGAGTGACTGCAGGTTATGGGCACTACAACAGAACTGGGTTAACTGATTGCTGTGAGCCTTACTAGTAACACAGAGCTTGCATGGGGTCAGGAGTTGTCTTAAATACATCCCAGAGGTGGCTGGAGCTGATAAGAGGGGGCTTACACTAAAAGAGATAAGGACCTAAGGACCCCTCAGAATACTCTTGTCTTGCTCAACAGCATGAGAGCAGAAATCTTCAGCTGCAAACAAAACACCCTGGGACGGCTACAATAGCAGAGTTTCCACAGTGAAGATCTAGCCACAGCATTAGTTGTTTCACACTTCATGAGAAAGGAGATATTGGATTTCTATTTAGGAAGGACCTAGAAAGGCCAGGATTTGTAGCAGTACCCTAAGACCCAGGATTTTAGCTCTGAAGCCGTTTATTTCAGAGTTTACTCTAAGAACTGAGCCATATGGACTGCATCAGCGGTAATAATCAAGAGGATGACCAATGTTAAGTATCAAGGGATGTAAATCTCTTTCAGGTAGTAAGGCAGCATAGGTAACTCATACCATTTCTGCTCCCACTTGGCAGTGACAAGGAAGATGTTAGTGATGTACTACCCAAGGCTATTTCTCAACATGGAATCAATACAAACTATTTCTGACCAAGAATACCATTCTACAAATAGCTTATAGCTTCTCATTGTATTTGACACAGTGGGTAAAACTCTTTATTTCCTATGTACAGAAAGACCAACCACTAGTGCTGAGGAGAGTGTGCATTAGGAATTTGCTGAGGTGGTAAAGTTGCTAGACACTGCAGACTGATGTGGTTGGGGAATTTACTGATGTACATTTTTCTCTCAAAAGTGCCAATGTTCTGTTTTGCCTCTGTGTGAATTTGAAGCTAAGTACTTCAGTGGGGAGAAGCAGCAATCCTGTTTGCCTCTCACAGCAGTTATTTCTCCTTCGAATACAGGAAACTCCACAGAAGAACAAGCTGATAAAGCATCCTTACACCTGCCTTGTAGTCTTTCTGTCTTGTCCTTGAGCCTATTATCAAATCTGGGCCTGATGATCTCAGCCAACCCAGAGTCTTAACATCCATCTGTTGGTGCTAAAGCCAGTCTGCCTGGCTCAGTTATTAGGATTAGAGCAAAATATCTTGTGACTTCAAGTTATGTTCTCAACTTAGTTGTCATGGGCCCTGGCATAAACAATAACATGCCTTGCCCTTGCCCTTTCCTCCCACTCTAACCGCCAGTTAGCCACATTCTGGGACATTTCTGACCTGCAGGGCCAAATGCAGCTGCACGTCTTACCCACTCAGTAGCTACGTTGCTGTTTGCTGGTCAAAGTGGTGCATTAATTGTAGGATTTACTGTCTTTGCCAGTTTTACTGGTAACAGTAAGGAAAGGTTATGAACCAACCTGCTGCGAAGGCTGAGCGCAAACTAGTCCTTCATTTCAATTAACAGTGCTTCTGTAGGGAAAGGCCAAGAATTAAAGTCAACTTGAGACACTAGTCAAAATTCCAAATTTGTACCTTTGTTGTGGTTTAACTCCATCTGGCAACAAAGCACCAACCAGCTGCTCACTCTCACCCCCCAGTTCCCGCCCAGTGGGATAAGGGAGAGAATCAGAAAGGTGAAAGTGAGAAAGCTTGTGGGTTGAGATAAAAACAGTTCAAAAATGGAAATAAAATAATAATAAATTGTAATGAAAAGGAAAATAACAAAGAGAAGAAATGAAACCCAAGAAAGGCAAGTGGGGCAAATGAAAACAATTTCTCACCACCAACTGACCAGTGGCCAGCCAGTCCCCAAGCTGTGCCCCTCTGCCAACCTTCCCCCTGGTTTTATTGCTGACCATGATGCCATATGGTATGGAATATCCCTTGGGTCAGTTGGGGTCAGCTGTCCTGGCTTTGTCCCCTCCCAACTTCTTGTGCACCCCCAGCCTCTTCACTGGTGGAGTATGGTGAGAGGCAGAAAAGGCCTTGACACTGTGGAATCACTGCTCAGCAGTAACATACCTGTGTTATCAACTCTGTTTTCAGCACAAATCCAAAACACAGCTCTATACCAGCTACCGTGAGGAAAACTAACTACCCCAGCCAAATCCAGCACATACATGCATGTGCTATATAAGACACAAGGACATTAATCTTCTTAATTGAGCAGAACAAATTCAAAGGTTGTACAATTATTTTCTTGGCTGACATCGTGGACACTCAGACAATGGGAAATGAGTGTCATTTCTCTGTGAAGAAAATCTCTACAGTAGATAATCTACTTCAAGATCCATATACTGGCCTATAGCTTCAGTGCCTCTGGATCAGGAAGGAATTGAAACCAAAAAGGAGGTTAAATGCTGAGTACTGCAGTGTCTAACTTATTCTTGGCCTTTGGACTGGAATCTCAAAGCATGTCCTTGGTGCCTCAGCTATGCATGCAGATGTACCTCTCAGATAGATAGATAGATAGATAGACAGATTGATAGATAGATAGAGCAAGCTATGCACTTAAGAGTGGACTCCAAAACAGCTGATGTGCTGAAGGAAAAGGGCATTGCTACAGCTGAAAAAAAAGTTGTTTTTAAGCCATCTCTTTCTGTAATCCCATCTCTTATTCCATGATTTAGGTGATATCCCTGATAAACCTTTTCTTTAAAGTTGATCTTTCATATAGGAAGCTAATTTACTTCGTGAGGCTGAGGCACCCCTTTCCCTTCTTGTGCAAGCTAGGCCACTGAGCAGCACAGGTTTCCACAATTGCCAATCCACATGGACAGCACACAAAGTGGACCCTGAGTCACTGGCCCTGGTGTTTCCACAAGTACTCTTCATGAAGTTTTAATTTATAAATTCATTAATTTATAAATTAATTAATAAAGCTGTGTCAGCAGCCATCACAGCAAGGACTTGTCTTCCCCATCTTTCAGATTGTATTTAAGCAAAAATGGATGTAAAAAATAATAATACCTTTGTAAGTGATAACAGTCTTGTACAAGGAAGACCATCTGTATACCATCAGAGTCTTCTCCAAAGCTCTTTTGATCTTCTTTCAGACTGTCGTTGCCATGTGACATGCACAAAGTGGGGCAAAGTGGGGCAAACACAGTTATTTAAAACATCGTCTTCTTTACAGAAGATATCGGATTAGGCTGTTGGAGTTAATCCCATTTAATGTCTCTGGAGGCCCGGCTCAGAGCAGCAGGGCTGACAGGTGCTCTGCATCGCTGGGAGCAAGCGCTCCCACTCCAGCAGGGCACTTGGCACTTGCATAGCCAAACTCCATTCCCTGCTTTCAGCCCTTGCTTTTATAGCAGAGGTTAATGGGATCTAGAGGTGGCTTTGGTCTGCAATGGGTGAATACAAACCTATTCCATATAGGTCGCCACGCATGCTAAAGGTTATTTGCAGGAAGGGGAGCTCCGTCTTCTCGATGAGCAAAGCTCGAGTTAGTGAGCTCTTGCCTCAGAGGTACCTTCCAGAGTTTTGCCCTCCGTGCTTCCTGGTGGGTGAGGCAGTGGTGGCACGTAGCTCCTGCGACAGGAAGAGACGATGACCCTGACAGGTACTGCTGGCCCGGGGGGTGCGTGAAGCTGCCCAGTGCATGAGGTCAGTGCAGCAGTGAGCAAAGCATTTATAATGACAGTGCTGCACTGCCCCATGCTGCGTTCCTCAGCAGGAGCTCAGCAGGCCTCCAACGCCGCAGCCATGAGCCAGGCGGGTGAGTAAACTTGTCCCGAGTGGCTCCTCTGAAACTGAGGGGGCGAGGTGGCAGTGGGGGACCAAGATGGCGGGGGGGGCACCTCACAACTCCCCCATCGAGAGACTAAGCATATTTAACTCTTCCCCAGCAGTGCAGTGAACAGAGATGGGTTTAAACCCGCCCTGAGGCTGCCCCGTTCCCTGCCGAACACATGCGCTTTACCCGCACCCCTGGGCTCAGCAGGGCTGGCTGTCCCCGGCCCCGAGGCGGCGCGGGGGGCGGGGCTGGCGCTGGAAGGGCGGGGCCCGCCGGGCCCACGGGGCCCTTCCGTAAACACCGCGCAGCCCTTCCCCTGCCTCCCCCTGCGCGCCGGCACGGCCCATTGGCAGCGCGGGGGAGTCCGCGGGAGCGTCTGACCGTGTCGCCTCATGTTTCTCCATGCTTAGTGCTCGGCCCCGGGCAGAATGAAGAGACGAGGACAGTTCGTGCCGGGATAGGCGGAGGTTGACCCGCGTCCTTGGGCTAGCTCGCCGCTGGCAGGTCAGGAAGAGGTGTCGCGCCTCCCCCCCGCCGCTGGCAGATATGGGCGTGCCCGAGGAAGACACTAATAGTCCGGGCTGGGGCTTTAAATGCGGGGGGGCTGTTCGAGGCTCCGGCGAGCGCCGCGGAGGACGGCGAGGAGGGAGCGCGGGGAGTGACCGGCCGGGGTGAGCGGGGCAGGGTAGGGCTGCGCCGGCCGGCGGCCGTGCCACGCGGCGGGGTGTCCGGGCACGCAAGGGCGCTGAGCCGCGGGGTGAGCCCGGGTCAGGGCTGGCTCAGGGGCTGCCGCCCACCTGTGCGGTGCGGGTGACTGGGGGGCGGCGGACTGGCCCCTGTAGGGCACCCGGTGCATCAGGTGAGTCCCGCAGTCCCTGCGCTGGGTCGGTAGTGCTCCTTTTGTCCCGTGTCTCATGGGCTTTCGCCGTCCTCTGGTGCGCGCCGGCACGGGGCGCAGCCGCGGTGTTCCCCCCGCGCAGCCCCGGTCCAGCGGCGCAAGGGCACCCCGCCATCTCTCCGGGACACGGGGCACTGAGTGGCGGGCGGCAGGGCTCGCCTTCTCTGGGGCTGACAGAGAGCTTTCTCTGTCCGCTTCTCCCCCCGCCTCCCTTCCCCCCGGGCCTGCCCTTGGAAACGCTGTTTGTTTTGGTCGGCGAGTGCCAAACTCCTGCCTCTGGTAACTGTTAAAAACATGGGGCCGGGGGAGGAGACAGGCGGTGAAACAGATGGAGGAAGAGGAGGAGCCGCCGGCTGCCCTCGGTGCCGCTCCCCCCGTCCCTCGCAGGGAGCGGAGCGGGCAGGGCGGCCCCGGGCTCCCCTCGGGGCCGGGCAGGACGCCGGGACACGAACTCATCCCGCTCTTACCCACAGTTTTTTAAGTCTTCGCGAAGAGAAGTCGCTGTTCAGAGGGAAGAGCTGCGGAACTAAAAAGCTAAAGGGGAGAAATGCTGGCTGTAAGCTGTGGAAAAACGAGAAAGTAACTCTTAACAAAGGCTCCTTTCTGCTCCTGTGCTGGGGGTGCTGGCAGAGGTGGAGTCGGTGAAAGGGGAACTCGAGCCCAGATGAGATTCAGTCGGTGCCAGCTTGAAGACAGTAAGAATGTGAGCCCAGTAGAATAAACAAAGTTAAGACCTTCATAGTGGTAAAACTGGACTGAGCACTCGTAAGTCCCTGTGTCCATGCACACTTCCTTTGAACAAAGCAGGGCTGTGGAAAACCTTTTCTTGAAGATGGCATCTGAACGAAAAAAACCTAAACTGTTCCAAACAGGTTTTCTTGTGTGTGGGTTTTGGTTTTTTTTTTCCCCTAGGTGCTTCACAAAGTAACTTCTAATGCAAACCTTCAGGAATAAAAAGTGTGTGTGTCCTGTAAAACTAATTTGATTTTGCAGTCTTGATTAGTTCTAAGCCATCAGTTGGGTGAAATGCTGACCATATAAGAGCAGGGTGCCTTCAAGCATCTACAATTTTGTATTCATTGTATTTTTAGTAAAAACAAAAATTTGCAACTTTCTAAACAGCAGCAGAAACATGAGACTTTAGTTCTTCATTGTTAACTAGAATCTTAGTGTTGGTACATCTAGAAGATACTTTTAAGTTTGGTCTTCCACTGAGAGTTTATCATTAAAAAACCTGCAATATAGTAATGAAACCCCCTATGAAGATACCCAACGTAATAGGAATGTAAACATCAGTAACTTTTAATGCAGAAGAGTAAAGCAGGTTGAAAACACAGTGTGACTCTTTTAATAGAATAGGTAGGATATTAAGCTTTGTATTAAAACAACAGCCTAATATGTAATACCTAATGAACAACTCAAAGAAAAAAAAAGTATTGTCTATTCAAGATGGTGAGGTACAAAGAGATATTAAAAGGCTAAAGAGCTTTCTGAAATATTTTACATGGCCATTATACATATAACTTAAAATTACTTATGAACTTGGCTATTAGTAATTAATGAGAAGCTCTGTGCTGTCTAAAAAAGTGTAAGGCAAATCAGCTCTTCTACTGTAGGCTATAAAGAAAGGACTAAGTGACTCAGTTGTCTATTGTTGTAGCTAATTAGAAATGCCTTGTTTGGTTTGTACTTGCCTTTGATATGCTCAGTGGCTCTACTTTTGCCTAAGTGTTTTAGCTGTTGGGCAACATACAGAAAAACTGCAGATAGCACATCCAGATTCTGCTTGTATGTTCATGTATGTTTAGTTTGATGTGTTTATCTTTTAAGCTTAGAATTTAGCAATAATGTTCTGAATTTGCAGAACACACCCATTCTTCCTTCCTATTGTGTTTGAGGCATCCTCCTAGGAAATGTATTTACTGTGGCAAAAGATTGCAGTAATTTTTGTGTGTCATCCTCTATTGCAGTGTTGAAACTTGTTATTTAAATGAATCCTTCTGAAGCACTCTGCTGACAGCTCTGCTATCTGCATGTGTGTGCCTATTGTAGGAGCAGACATGGTCCTGGTACATCAAGATATGTCTTGGGCCTCTTTGAAATGGAAGTATTTATTGCCAAAAAATCCTTTGCTGGGACTAGTGTGTAAGGACTTAAGGTAGAAATTAGAAATCTATATACGTTAACCACTTGCTCTTCTTGGGAATCAAGATTTGAGTGGAAAATGGCAGTGCTGACTTGTCTTCATGGCTGGTTTAGTACTTCTCTTAGGAGCACCTTGCAAATCTGAATATTTGTTAGTATTATCATACTTCCAGTTTTTAGGAAGTTCTTGGAATGATGATGTATAAATTGTGTGAGAATTCGGGGGTTTTAATGGTCATTTAACTTCTTCCATGTACTTAACACCGGGACTGAAGCAGTAGACTCATCTTGAAGTGCTCATACTAGGCGAGTGATTTACAAGACTCTTTGTGCCAGTTCGCTGCTACCAACGTTAATCAAATCTTTCAATGGACCACAAGCAACGTTAACCTTTTGGAGATTAGTTATTTGTGTGTAAATAATGGGGTGTTGTACATGATTGAAACCTGGAAATACTGCGTTCTTATACTGATCCAGAAAAAAATAGTGGGAGAGTAGAGTGAACTTTGCAGGCTCTGAAGTGTTACTGAGTGGTTCCACATCAAGAACCTGGAGTGTGTTCAACAGGTGGATTACTTGTCACAGGTAGTCTCTGGTCAGCACTGACTTTGAGGTCTGTAACGTGCATTTTAATTGAAGAAATAGTTTCTCTTCTGTAGCATTAACTAGTGACTCACTTCTAATTATACCATAATACAATTCACAACCCAAAATATCTCAGCCTCTTGGGTTTTTTAGGTTCCCTTGCGATTCTGTCTTGTTTGGTCACTCCTGTTTTAAATATCTGCTTGTTTTCAGCTGCTTGTTAGAAATTACAAAATTGCTGTTCTAATAAGGGTTATGATGTTAAGGATCACAGGTAATGCTGCAAGTCTTGAATGCATGACCTCTGCGTCCTAGTCTGTCCTCAGTATTCTACTGGCTTCTCCAGTAGGATAATAAACTATTAGCTGTATTCTTGCTAACCTTGAAAAGGATCAATTCTTTTCACAAAGAAACAGCAAGAAGTATGACACAAATAAGGGGCTCAAGTGCATCATCTTTCCTCTTGGGAGAGGAGGAAGAGTAAACATGCACTTAAGAATTGTTAATCATCTCAATTAACAGGGGAGTGCTCATTAGTGTAATAGCTTGTCAAGTTACAAAGGCCTATTCAGGATGAGCTGGTACCCAAAAAATCAAATGCTCTAAGCTGTAACTAGGTGCCAGCAAGAAATCTTCCTTCTTACTACCTTTTGTCTATCCCAGGACCCCACAATATGTTGATTCACATAAGTAGACACAAAGATCATCCTTTTATTGCCAAAAGTGGCTTTTTCCAAGTTCAGCAGATGCAGAGTACAGTATTCCCTGCTACTGAAGTTGATGCAGTTTAATCATAAATGAAACTATATTAGTTAAATTTGCTGACAGAAACTGTTGTTGGCTGTGTCTCTTCATAAAGTCTACTACAGAATGCTTCATGGCCATAATTAGAGGTGGACAGCTACTTTTGGTATCTGGGCCAAATTCCTTTGGTAGTAATTACATCTGACTCCTAGCTTCTCATTTTAATATTATAATGAACATATTTTTCACTTCCTGTCATACAGCTGTTAATCATCTGTATGACACTGTCAGCTGTCCACATTTTCTGCAATTGCAGATTATATACCTGGAAGGCAGTTTCTTTACATAGACAGAAGCACTATGAAGTGTTACTCTTCAGTGGTGGTTGTCTATGCCAAATATAATGTTAGAGGCTCAGAGCTGCCTATTGACTGAAAACAGAAAACTTATCCACCCTCACCCCTAGGAGGAGTTTCTTGGGTGCATGCCATTGTTGATCTGATTCTGAGCACAGACCTACCTAAAGCAGCAGGGCAGACCTTCAGCTACGCCCTGTCAGAAATGTAGTATTCTGAAGTACTTGCAAATTCTCCCCCTGCAACTTCTGTGTTTGCTTCACAAATGTTACACTTGATGCTGTCTGTTTGTGGAAGGAAGCTCATTGCTAAACATCACTTCATAAAGTCAGATGGGGGATGGTAACATCATGAGATGCCTTTGTGGGCATTGAAAACTTACAAAATTCTTCCAACAAGCAGCTTCAGGGATTACTGTGGGTAGTCTTTAATTTTTTTACATATGATCAATATGATCAGACTGTCTCTAACATAATCATTAAGCTATGAAACAGCTGAAGGTACAAAACTTTCTTACAGAACAGATGCAGTTTGCTGATAGCTGTATGATTCTGCATGTCAGGCCAGATTCTTTATCTAACAACTGTTTAAGAAAGGCAACTATTTGTTCTCCATTCACAACATAGTGATGAGTATCTGACTCGTTTTTGAAAAACAAACAAAAAATTAAGTGCTGGTTTTACGGGAACTGTATTTGTCTTTCCAGGTCTGGTTGACTGTTGCAGCTAAAGGGAATCAGAATGCCTCTCAATGACGACCAGAACAGCGATTCAGACTCTTCACGCCTCTCGGAAAGCACAGCAGCTTCTAGCGACTCTGAATATTCAAGGCAGAGTTTTAACAGTGATTCTTCAAGCAAACCCAGTTCCCCAGCGTGTAAGCCTATTTCAACCTTAGCTGCATTGTGCATAGAGCAATAAGGCTAACTTATCTATGTTTCTCTTTGCTGTCATGGGTAGAGCCTGGGATTCTGAATCTGTTTATGAGTATTAAGAGAAAGGCACGGCTTTCTCTCTGCTGTGAAGCAGTGCATCTCCTTGTGTGTGGAGCACCACCAGCAGCTGTATCCGTGGGGGTCTCCCTGTGCACTCCTACCCTTCAGAAAGTGTAAGAAAAGTGTGCCACCACAAACACCCTGCTTTTGAGCTAAACTTGACTTTGGTAGCAGTCTCCCACTCAAACAGATACTGCTTTGTGCAAAGGGTGGGTTTCCTCTGTTTGATCCCTGTGCTTAAAAGTTAATTCTGTAACTTACAGATTTGTAATACTGTGTCAAGTTACATGAATTAATCTTTAATTCACATTTTTCTTTCATAAATATTAGAATCAAAAGGAAAACACGCATTTGCACAAAGAAGATAGTTTGCGTAATGATAAATAAAACCTTGGTTAAGATGTGGTTCATGTTTGTGTCTGTAAGCATTCTCAGACCGTGCATACTTTTTACATCTGTGTAAGTGAAGTCTTACAATGAAACAAGGCTTGTTAGTGGAACTGCAATTGCCAGTTGGCTCTTTGTTACCAGTCTTCCAAATACTAAAGTTAAATGATAGAATTTGGATTTTTAGAAACTTTGGGAATTTGCCCTTGTTTTTCAATGTAGAGTTTCTGTTTTGTTGTTACTGCTTATTTGTAAAAAATGAGTCTAACTTAGGTTCCACAGCAGGTGAAAGATCTGCTGACCGTAAGTGAGGGGTTCTCAAGTCAGTAACTTCAGAACCTTTCTCAACAGGCAATAAAACCACAATATAGCCATTATGTGCTCTGAATTATAATGGACATCTGATATCTGTTATTGACCATACTTTTGATATGGTAGATTTTTCACAACAGTTAATAGGAAATTTGTGGAATGGAAGATCCTGTTTTAAAGGGGAAATAAAGATATCTTAGTTCAAATGTGTAAATATGAAATTGCTTCACAAAATGTTTTGAGGTTTTTGTGGTGTTACCCCTACACACACCCCGATAAGCTGGGAGTTTCCTGAGTTAGTGTTTTAAGAAGATATAAAGACCTGGTAATCTTAGGTTGTTTCTTCTGGAGTACTAGATTCCAGTTAGTAGGCAGTAAAACTTCTTGTGTTTCAGTATTTTTCAATTGCACTTACCAGCTACAGATACTAGGATTGAATTGATTTTGTTTGTTCCAGCAGCAAGCCCTCCCAAGGTTATTACATTTGATGAACTGATGGCAGCTACAAGAAATTTGTCAAACTGGACTCTAGCTCATGAAATTGCTGTAAATGCAAATTTTTGCATAAAACATGAAGACTTCCCACAAAACAGGTAGGGACCTCAATTTTGCAAAAAGCAGCATTGGTGTTGGGAAGAGAAGTGAAGGGAGCATGTTTTGGGAGCTGCGATCCACAGCCCAAGAAAGATGTGGTTGCAGGGCATAATATCTGGTGAGATGCATTTCCCAACAAGTGATCAGGCTCATCTAGAAAGGTTACCAAGGATGAAAGCTAATTGGGAATCTTTTCTGTATTTAATTGCCTTACTCCACAGCTTTGCAGGCACAGTGAAACAAATTGTACACAAGGCATTTTGGGATCATTTGGAGTCGGAACTGAACGAAGATCCTCCAGAGTATGAACATGCCATCAAGCTCTTTGAGGAAATTAAGGAGGTAATCCTCCTTCTCCATATTGTTTTGTCAGCTTAGGTCTGAGGTCTCTTAGTTCACTGAAGGCTCTGCTTAACTTAGTCAAGCCAACACGTTCAAGTTCTTCCTTTTAAGATAAGCCATGGTTTGCATTTGATAGTATATTCATATGAACCAGGAATATGGCTGCAAACACACAGTGTTCACTTGGCTTTCACTGCATGAAGAGGAGTTGAAAGTGATCTCTTTTCACAAAGCTTCACATCTCTGCTAGCCTATTTCCAGACACATACTGTGAGCTTAGGGCATGAATAGAAGTATAAACATGACTGCACCTGCCTACTCAGACTTCATTGTTTGATTGTCACACAGGTGAGCATACAAATCTTCAATCCTGGCACAATGCTAAGTCTTCCTGAATTTTAAGTTAGTAAATGTTTGCTTTACAGGGCAGCCTCCCAGCTTTTGAAGGAGTCTAGTTGTGCACTTGCTTTCTGTTTTACTGACTTTGAGCATTTTTGGAGAACTGTACTGTGATTCTTTTAACAGTCCTTTTCCCCCAACTACCTTAGATAATGTTCAGTCTTGAAATGTCTGGTTATAGTCTACATATACTTGACATTAGTATTAAAATCTCACTTTAGTGTGTTTACTAAGTGGTTTGTTTTTTATTGATAAGTTTTTTCTTTTTCCCTCCCTAATTTAGATTCTTCTTTCCTTTCTGACTCCTGGAGCAAACAGGATTCACAATCAAATTTGTGAAGTTCTAGATACGGATCTTATAAGACAGCAGGCAGAACATAATGCTGTTGATATTCCTGGGCTAGCTAACTATATCATCAACACTATGGGAAAGTTGTGTGCTCCAATAAGAGACAACGATATAAAACAGTTAAAGGCAACTGACAATATCGTAGAATTGCTGAGGTTGGTACTGGGGTGAGGTTTGAGGGTTTTTTGGGGGAAAAACCTCTTCCCTGAAAGAGTTATGGGCAGTGGAAGTAGGGGGTAAAGCCTTAACAAGTCTTAAATTGTCTCAGTTTACATAACACCTGTCCTAACACCTTTACCATATTGTGTATCTTACTTTGTAATGACATGGGTAGGATACCTGTATGAAATTAGGCAGCTCTGAATATCTAAGCAAACAACTCTTGCAATAGACTGTGTTTCAGAAACTGTTTTTTTCCGTCTTGTTCATCCTTACAAAATGTAAGCAGCACATTTTTATTGTTCCTTCTTGAAGTGGTTGTTGCATTCTTTCTCTGGCAGGCCAAACTTCAGATTAAAAGCTCTTGAGTTAAGATCTTATTACTTGAATTTGAGTAAGACATTTGCGTAAAAGGGCATAAACCACTTTACTGCTCCTTAGGTACACGGAAATATTAAGAATAAATGGTAGTTGCTCTTCTGTGTATATATAAGGACCAAGGGAACTGGTTCAGAAGGATTGTTTCTCTTGGTGCAGTCAGGGTGACTAAAAGGTTAAAATCTCTTCACTGGGATTGAAATTGATGTAGTTCTTGAAAACCTTTCTCTTACCCTTAGGGGGTTGAAGCATTTAGTGATGCTACAATTGTCCTGTTCTCTGTAACTTAGACCAAGCCTTATATACACTACTCTTTCATGTATTCCAGATGATAGGCAACATATCTGTTACTCTGAAATATCAATGAAGGAGTTTACTTCTCTCAGAAGTTAAAGTGCCAATGTACACATACTTCACACGTGCTGGGTAAAATCAATAGACTAAATTAAACTCTGAGATTTTCAATTCTTCCTTTCAGACAAATATTTCATGTTTTGGACCTGATGAAAGTGGATATGGCAAACTACACAATTAAAAGCCTTAGGCCATACCTCTGGCATAATTTGGTGGACTATGAAAGAACAAAATTCCAGGAAATTCTTGAAGAAACACCAAGTATGTATTGTGCTATATTTAACGTAAACTTTTATCTAAAAAGAGGACCATTTAATGACATGCTGTGAAAATCTATAAGTTGCAGTTAACTTAGAGGAAAACTTCAATTTCTTGTCTCTAACTAATGCAAAAATTTTTGACAAGCAAGCTACCACGGGGTGGTTGCTTAACTTGCTATAAAGTTTATTTATCTGTAGTCTGGGCCACTTTCAGACAAACTTATATTTGCCTGTTTGGTTGGTATCTGAAAAACAAACAGTGACTCTTGCTGTCTGGATGCAGAAGCCCTATGTAAGGATGAGACTTTTCTCTCTTTCGTGCACAGCAATTCTGTTGTTAGTCTGAAGTAAACTTGTAAACCAGTTGGTGTGTCTGAAAATGAGAAGGGGTAAGATCAAGTTTTTTAAGAAACAAAAGGCAGGCTCTGAATAAAACTCCTTGGATGATGCAAAGTCAACTTGATCCACTGTTGCAGGTTTTGTGTAATATGGTTAAATAGTGTCCAGAAATACATCGTCCAAGAAGAATAAGTAAGCTTGCTAAAATCTAGAGCAGGGGCTTCTAAAACGCACTGAGCCACTGACAGGGCCTGCAGTGTTTGTCTATGCAACCTGAGGAAAAACTCAATTAATAGCAAATTAAATGCTTTAAAGAGTTCTATCTCCCTTCACCTGTACTTTTCTGTCCTATGCTCCAACTGGTAAGTGGCCTCTGAAAAAACAGTGCTTTGGGAACTCAAACTTTGACACTTTTTCTACCTAAAAATATTGTTTGAAATCTAATAATTTATCGCTGGGTTTCTACAAACTAGCTAGAGTATTCAGGTGATCAGTGGAAGATGATCAGTGGGGAAAAAAGTGATGGAGGGAATTGACTCAACTGTCCACTATATTTGACTCTTCAAAAGTTCAATTCTCTTATGTATACAACTCTCTTTTTTTCTCAAGGTAGTGCTTATTTTGATGAAGGCATGCAGTAAATCTGTGCTATTTGCAATGCTTAGGTGCCCTGAATCTCACAACAGAATGGATAAAGGAATCTATAGAAGATGAACTGTCATCTATTTCTGATGAGTCTTCATCATCCCCCGGTGCTGACAGTAGTTCAAAACCAATTATTAGTCCTACACTGGTGCTAAACAATGGCTACTTGAAACTGTTACAATGGGATTATTGCAAAACAATTCCAGAGGTAAGTATATTTTGGTGCCTACAGGTTTCCAGCTATATTAAATAATTGGTGTAAATAATAATCCTGCTATTGAATGCCAATAAGTGAATGTTCTCTTGGACCCCTTAAATTTCTGCACAGTAGGTTTGAAATTTGGAGATTATGTGCTAGTCCAGTTTCTGAAATTTGAGATGGGCAAGTCAACAACTAGAAAAGAACAAGGTAAAGGTTGTTTTCCCTCTCTCCAATCATTGCTCACCAGCTCCACCCTAAGAGCAGTCTTGGCTGTGGTCAAAGGTTGGGCCTTATACTCATGGTACTTGGCTTTCTGTGTCTTTAAAATAACTGATTTTAGCATCCTCTTTTCCTAACAGCAATAGGAATTGGTGGGATTGCTCTTTAGAACAGAATAAGTAAAAACTTGAAGCCCTCTCAAGCAGACGTTTTTCCTTTCTCAATTCATGTAAACTATTGTTTCAAGAACCAGTGTTCAGTTTTTCCCTCCAACTCCTGATTACTGACCTCTACAGCTTTCCATAAAGCCCGTGTGAAATTTTCCATCAGTCAGGACTCAAATTTGCCTTTGCAGGAAGGGCCTTAACTACACTTAGGATGGCCTGGCAGAGAATTTACTAAATACATGGGGATGCTCTTGATGCTCTCAGTTCATGGATAGGAGGGAAGCCACCTTATTCTTGCCTTTCTGTGAAGAGTTTTGAATAGGAGATGCACAGAGATGTCCTCTGATGGGTCTAATTTGCTAGACTAAGAAATTGCTACCAGCTACAGTTGAATGTTAATGCCCTTGTGCTGCTCAGTGGAGGGATTTGGTTAGGATTAACTCTTTTTAACCTAAAATAAGTCACTCTAGCCACATCTTGCTGTGTGAATTAGATTCTTAGGAGGTTATGTATCACTTACAGAACCTGCTCTGGTAGTTGTCAAGCACAGTTGTTCATCACTGTCTGTCACTTACAAATCCTGACACTTTTCAAAGGACAGCCAAATCTAGAAGACTATTCTGTCTGTAACCTTGGTCACTGCAATGTCCTCTGGATCCTCTGAGCATTCCACATCGTGGGCTGAATTGCTGGTTGCAGACTTACCAGCAGTGATAAGGAATGAGATGCAATGACCTCAATTTCCCCTGCACTAAAGGCATTACTTTTCTTCCCACTAGAGGCTTACTTCTGGTTACTTGTGTATAATGCCACTGAGTGCTATATTACATATTCAGGATATCTCACCTGTTGTCTCTTCTGGCTTTGCGTATTTGTGATTAAAAATAATAATGCTTCATGACTACATCCTAGATCTGTCCTTTTCCTGTCTCTCTCCCTCATTATTCCTAAATGAGTATTATTGTTTCAATTCTAGACTCTAATAACAGATGAAGTTCGTCTTCAAGAGTTGAGAGAAAAGCTCAATCAATTAAAAATCATAGCTTGTGTTTCTCTCATAACAAACAATATGGTGGGTGCAGCAATTGTAGATGTGCCTGATTTTGCTGACCAACTGAAAAGGATCTCTGTTCCTCTTCTTGAAGGCATGAACAAGAAGTAAGGCCTTGTTTTTATCACTCTTTATTTTTTAACAGGAAATAGTTGTGAACAATTCTAGTGTCATAGCTTGTTATTAATAGGAAGATACCCAATTTTAATAATCTATGTATTCCCTTTATAATATATGTCCACTATATGTTAGACACATGTTTTCAAAGTTAGATTTTAATAATCTTGATGTTGGTGTACAGAATTTGGAGCCTAGTAATAAAGTATATTCATACACTCCTAATACTGGAGAGATTGTGGCAATACATTCACTAAATTGTCTTGCCAATTGCTTCAAACTTGTAGGTAGTTCAAGTTACTTGTTTGCCTATTTCTTGCACTACAAACAAGTCTGATGTTATAAAATCTGTCTCTTCCACTCTGCCCTTTTCTCAAGAAGTGCTATACATGTGGCCCAGAAGAACAGGCAGGCACAAGGGCAAAGTGAACTGGTGCCCCTGCTGCATATTTGGTATTAATTTTCCCCACCATTTGAATCACAATTAGGGCCTTATTTTATCTTCCACATAGAGATTTATGTATCTGTAGATGAACATAAATCTGTAATGGTAAAAAATAACTTTTCAAAATTCTCTCATTGCAGAGAGCAAGTTGAAAATAAATAAAATGGGAAGGAGACAGTTAAGGTCACCTTACAAGCTATGCCACAGAAACTGCAGAAGTTAATGCTTTTCTGTTTCTTCCAGATCTTTTGATTTGAAGGAGGCTCTGAATGCTATTGGTGTCCAGATTTGCAGCAAAGTGAACAAGTCTCTAACTGAAAGAGGTCTTCCCATTCTTAGTGAAGAAATGCAGAGTAATTTAATGGGTCAAATCGCTCATATTGTTGAGAAGAATAATCCTGTCTGTTCCTTGATTGGTTAGTAAGATACTACATAACTGTGTATTAACTTACTCCCAGCAAGCTTAATCAGCTGTCTAGCTATCTTTTAGAAGCACTTTCTTACTACAGTAAAATACTGGCTCAATTAAGACCAAGGAAATGTTGTTCACCTATAGATGCTGTTCTTGATGTGCTGCAGAGCGTGGTTAGTCACAGCTAGACATAATTCTAGAAGTGCCTGTACAGACAAGCCTAGACAGCCTGGTATTTTGGAGAAGAATTTAGGAAAATGAGGGCTATTCAGTATCCTTTCTGTCCATTCTAGGTTTACCTAATATGAAATAGACTCAAAGGAAAAAAAAAACAAAACAAAACCAAATACACTAGGTTAAATGTAATTTGTTGCAGTAGGTTTATGCTGTGTCCACCTTGGGGTAGCCAAGTTTAGGAATGCCAGTGCAGTCTTGGGAAAGAGGTATTGCTTACATGGTTGGATTTTTTGCTGTGCTGATGTGCTTTTACAAAGTCACTATGGCTTCATCTTGGGTTTATATTTGTTCTGAGCATACTTTGTATTCCGTTTCAGACAAACGGATCCAGCTCTTCCTGAGAAGCTTGCTTGCTCTTCCGAGCTTCCAGAAATGTATGCCTACTATGCCAGGAGGCCTTTCTGTAATTCAGACAGAGATGGAGTTTGTTGGATCTCAGTATGCAAGCATTGTAAACTTCAATAAAAAAGTCTATGGACCATTCTATGCAAACATACTTAGAAAACTACTTTTTCCTGAGGCACCAATGGAGAAATCAGAAGCAGAAACAGCTGGCAATTAAAAACTGTACATTTTTTTTTTTTATATTCCAAGACCATGGGGAAGGCAGATCTCTAAGAACAGCCTACACCAGTGACTGTTGATCATAAAAGGTCTTGTAAAATATATACAGATAGTTTCTGAGATTCACTGTAAAAAAAAAAATTAATTTCAAGGTCATATATATATTTTAATAGAAAAAAAGTTGTTTAATGGATTGTTACTTACAATAACCAGCAAGTTATTAATTTTCATGGCAAACATTTATTAAGATTTGCAGTGGGAAAGAGCTGGCAAAGTATTTACTGTTTTGCCACCAATAAAACAATGTTATTTTTCAACTCAAATATATTTACATATAGCAATGCATATTATGAAATGACAAAACAAGTGTAGATAAAATGTACCGTGCTTACATTGTATTTTTGTAGAGTAACATCAGAGACAACAATTATGTTTCTGAAAATACTTTGAAGAAGAAAGTATAGCATAACTGCTTCACTCAAACCCAGGTTCATACTAGGCCAAGTTTAGGTACTCCTGCAGTTACTGGAACCAGAACTTTGCCTCTGTTCCATTAAGGAATGCCAGTGTTATAAGCTGTTTGCAGTATAGCAGTTACAGAAACAGCATTCACCACTTCAAGTAGAAATCATTGAGAACTTCTCACCTGTAAACACCTAGGACACATGATGTTGGGGAGAGGTGGTGGAGTAAATTTCTGTATATAATGTGTATAAGCATTTTGTTTATTCAGTGGAGGTCATACAGATCTTTAATATGTGTATGTACTGATCTTTGATCTTAATGGATGGTGGGTATTAAGTATTTTCAAGTGAGGTGTTTCTGACCTTTATTCCCTGAAGCACTTAAGGCTGACAAAGTACTTACAATGTACCACAGAGCAATTCCCCCTTTTATGCCCTCATCCAACAGAATATTAGTTTTTCACAACAGCTTCTTAGGTCTGAAAGCAAGAACCCAAATAAATAGTCATTCTTGAAAATGTGATTAGATTCACTTTCATGGAGTCTCTGAGAAATGCTGCAGTTTTCTTCAAATTCCTTTGGAATAGGCCCCAATACTTAGTTCCCATTTAAGGCATCGGGAATCTTGCATACAGAAAATTAATAGGCTTGAAATTGAGAAATGTAGAAGTGAACTTCTCTAAGTTTACACAGACTTTATTTTGCATATTTCAGATTACTGGGATTAGACACTGCTGGAATACATACTGTAGACATGTTCATGTCTATGAAATTGAATAATTTACTTGAAAATGATATTTTAATATATTACCATATTATAGTCCTTTTAAGATGTCATATATAAAAAACCTCAGTGTGGTACAAGTTATAGCTTGTTTTTAATATTTTATATTACGATCTATTTTTTATGAAGAGACAAAAATAACCTGTAAAAGCTTAATGTGTCACACAAATTGTATGTGTACATTACTATGTCTATCATAGAGGTCTAAAAAAACTGGGCATTATTAGCACTGTGGTTTTGTAGTCCGTTTTTACAGGATTCTGTACCCTTTATAGTAAGAGAAATTAATTGTAGTCAGTTGTTTCTTAGTGTCCAAGGACTTTGGTCACATGTACATGATACTGAAACTTTCTTCAAAATGCCTTTTTAGAAAAAATTTGCCAGTGCACTTCTGTTCTATCCCTTGTGAAAACATTGCACAAAATAAAGATGAATACATATTTTAAAGGGAACTGTCTCCTGGAAAACCTGAGAGAAAGGAACTCTTAGCATCTAATAATTGTGCCACTAGTTAAGCCAGGCTTGCTCACATGAATGTGGAATTTTGATATGCAATTCACAATCACCAAGAGAAGAATTCATTTCAAAAGCAGTTAGGGGGAATTAAATCCTAGCAATTTGCTGAGTCTTTAGAAATACCTAAATGATTTTGACCTTTAGTCAAAAGAGAATTTTGTAACATTTGAAGATGATTGCTAACATGATTATGAACTTTTTCTCATAATATTTCATATACATTCTACTGTACAAATTATTATCAAACTATAGATCTGTAAGGAACTGGGAAAACTGTCATACTAGTTTTTACCAGTAATCAAAAAGTAGGGTTCATCTGGGGTTTTTGGTGATTAAGATGACTTGCAAAGGGCATTTTATAGCATGGGCTATGTTTCAAGTGATTGTTTAATGTTTTTTAATGTTTCAAACATGGACATTGCATCTGTTTAATGTCATGTGTTGCATGCTGTTTACGCTACTGTGGCTGAAATGCACTTGCTTCTGCTCTGAAGTTGTTCTTGTGAAACAAGATGCCATTCTGTAGCAGCTTTCTTTGTTAAAAAAAAAAACAACAAACCAACCAACAAATATTTGAGGGTTTGGATGCATTAAATTTTGTTTGTGATACCATCAGTGGTGAAAAGTTATTTATATAAACTTTCTTTAATGCTGTGGATTGTTAAATGCCAAAGATAAATGACTAATAATATTTTGTGACCCTTTTTCTGTAGTTTCTCAGGAGCAGCTCAAAGGTAGAGGAGTGACTTCAGTGCAGCTGCACAAATAACATTCAAAACAGGTGCTGCTTAAATTTGAGTAATTGGAAGGAGAATGTATTTGGTTTGCATGGTAAAGTTGGAGGGGTTGGGCTATAGGGTTGGCATCTGTGAGAAGCTACTAGAAGCTTTCCCTGTGTCCTACAGAAAAAAGACTTGCCACGTAGTAAACAAATTCTCCAGACTGACTGCGCGCTTTAGGCAGGAAACCAAATGGAAGTGGTCTGAAATTTTGCCACTCTTTATGTTTAACCTGCGCCTTCAAGTTCCAGGATGCGCAGAGTGCAGACCCAGCTCCGCGAACGCCGCTCACAGGGAACCTGAGGCAGAGCAGACGTGCGTAAGCACTGTTTTTACACTGCTTTTGAAGTGTGCTTGGCAGTTACTATATGTGAACTGGGAAAAACTTACTGCCACGGGAAATGTGCAGAAATCACTAATGTTTCTCGTTAAGTTGGGGAAGACGAGTAGTCCCCTATGGTTTCTCCATAGCACTGGAGAGGGGGGGAAAAAAGAGCTTGTAGGTGATCCAGCTATAACGTTCAACATTATCATCAGAAAAAAGGCAATATTAATAATAATAAACAAATAAATAAATAATGCTAAAACTCATGCCCCGTGTTGCTTTACATTATAAAAATTGCAAGAAATGAGTTTGCACCCCAACTGCTCTGTGTCCCCTCCGGCCCTGCCGCCTCCTGCCGGCTCCGGGATTCAGGGAGGACGCCCCCGCACGCCGCCAGGCGCTGAAGGCCCGCGGGAGGAGCCCGGGCACGGTGAGGGAGCCCGGGCACGGTGAGGGCTGGTCTGGAGAGCGCTCACCGCCTTCAGCCTCGCCCCGCCCGGGCTCCGCGGCGCCGGAACCTTCGGGCGCGGCGCCGGAGCGCGGGGGACGCGCTGTGCTGCAGCGCCGCGCTCCCAGGGTGTCGGGGCGGAGATGGAGGCGCTGGGTCTGGGGGCGCTCAGCCCGGAGCAGGCGGCGGCCCCGGTCAACACGGTGGAGGTCAGCGCGGGGGCACGGGGGAAGGGGCGGCGGGCGCTCCCGGAGCGCGGCTGGGCCGGGCCGGGGTGGGTGGGCTGAGGGGACCTGCGCTCGGCTGCTGAGGTGCCGCCCCGTCCTCAGCCTCTGCCCGGCCCGTGTCCTGCAAACACGGGCGCTGAGGTTTCAGCCCTTTAAACCCAGCTGGTTCCCTCGCGTGGGCACAGCGAGGAGATGGGGGCCGAGTTTCGAGTCCCTTTGGTTGCACGGGGCTCTTCCTGTAGGAAGAGCTCGCCGGGCGTGGAATCTCCGTGTCCAGGGTGCCTGGCGCTGTGTTTTGCCAGGGATTCATCCACGTGCTCCTGCACCGCGAGCGACAGCGTCACACCACAGCCACGCCGTGGCCGTGTGCTCCTAAATGCTGAGTGTCGGGATTATGAGGTGTTGGTGCTCTGTGGATATTACAGTGTACCCTGCGCAGGAGCTGAGTGATGCGGCCTCACTCGGTGCTGTCTGGGTATCTCTCCTCCCAAATCTGGGATGGTCTCTCCCCATGCCATGGTGAGAGAAGGTAGGGCTGATTTAAAGAGATGTTCCCTGTAATCATTGAAGAACAGAAATAGAGGAAGGTTTGTAGGAACCTTGATACGCTTTGCAGTCATCAGCCTTGCTGAATCTTTGTAGGAGTGGGTTTTACAGAGACTTGTGTCTACAAGTGCTGCTCTCAGGACTGAGGTTCTTGCTTGTATTTTGTAAAGTAAAAGTCATAGGAAGTCTTCCCTTCCTAGGAATATAATTTGCAGTGTTAACCAAAAAAAAAAAAAAAAAAAAAAGCTAGTTGATCTGAAATGAGGACATTTTCTAAGAAATATATATTCTCACAGAAGTTGCAGTTGGAAAAGGCAGTGTGCTGAGTAAATGTTACTCAGTGCATCCTGAGTAAATACTGCACAGCACATCTGACTTACTAAGCTGATTCATGTCATTTTTATCATTCTACATTGGCTTTAGACAGTCTTTTATTTTTTTCCTAAATGGATCTGATTTGAAATAATGTTACTGACTAAAACCCAACAATAATAATAAAACAAACAATCAAAAAAGCTCAAGCATCTGAAGTGTTTGGTTACTCTTTGGAAAGATATTTCAAACTGTTTTTTGTTTTCAGGAAAAATGGAGACTTCTTCCAGCATTTCTAAAGGTTAGTGACACACACTTATTTTGTGGCGTAAGTGCTTCACCTCCATTCTAACTTTATGTTTCCCTCTTCTAGCTTTTGTTCTTTTTTGCTATTCCCAGAATACCTGTCCTCACCTTTTATGTGGATTTCACAATTTTTTTATTTTTTTTTTTTTTTAGTTCCCTGGAGTTATGGATAAACTCATTCCATAGATCAGTTTCCTTGTTAATTTACTGATTATTTTGTGGAGGCATCCTCTTAGAGCTTTGCATTTTTATATTCTCAATGAACAGTGTATATGTGTAGTGGTTCCAGATTATTTTACTGTTTTACTGACACTCAGAGACCCTATTCGTGGTCTTTACATAAGGCTGTGGTGCCAGGTTCATGGTTGTGTTTGTCGTAGGTGGTGTATAGCCACAGATGTGAATTCTGCAAAGGCTTGAACACACACACATCTTCCCTCATGAAGTCAGAGCCTGACTGAACTCAAAAGTTAGTTGTGTCTTAACTTCAGTGCTGCTCCTCTAATCTGATACTAGTTGAAGGCCCAGCCAGTTCTGTATAAAATGCCATTGACGTAGTAACAGCACTAACAGATAGTTGGAAGAGAAGAAGGAGAAAGGCAGCAATGAAAATTGTGCCATAAATGTGGCAGGTAAAGTCTGTGATGGGCACAGAGAACCTTCAGGGAGTGACAGCCCCCTTTAGACCCATCATCAGTCTTTGGAAATGTTGCCCGCTTCAGCAAGGTTCTTTTCAACCTCACTTTGTAATTCCTTTTCTTCCCAGTTTCAAATCCTGTGCTTCTGTTTTTGTTGTGCCCTTGAGTGTTTGATCCTGGCAGGAGCACAAAGTTCCAAAGTCAGTTACGGATTGTGGATGTTTTCACTTGGATTCAGGACCCTAATGAATTAAAACAATTTCTGTGTCTCTCCTGGCAAGCACATGAAATTCCGTCATGAGCTTGAGCCAGTGATATTGTGTGAATTCCTGACCCTGAAATGGGGAGGGCTGCTGATTGAGAGGTGCAATTTGCTGTGTGCTTTATGCCAATTGTATCCATCCCACACTGTTTCCAGCCAGTGAGCCCTTTTCTCTAGGGCTGCTGATGGTGGTCTGGCGTTTCTGTTACATGTTGGTATATTCGTTCCAGCAGTGATACACTTACACAAAGCTGATGTTGTGCATTGCAGCTTCTGTTGTGGAGTTTTCTTTCAATAAAACTGTTGATATCACCTCATAAAAATTGGAAAGAACGACCTGATTTTTAGACACCAATAATTCTGCAATACTTTATTGCCTATATCAGATGATGTGCAATGTTTTTGTAAATCAGGGAAACTCTTACGTAATTAATTTTGCTCTGGAGTCACTCTTCCTTTGTTTTAACCCATGGAGGCTTCACTGTGCAGATGGATATGTCCTTCTAAGGTTCCTATTCCTTTCTAATTATTTCAGAATGAACCATTACCTATTGTTTGAACTATGGAAATAGTGGCTTTTTGCAGTATAAAGTTTTAAGTCTTGTAATGTGTTAGTTGTCATGAGGTGTTTCAAAGCTTGAAACCCTCAGAGCATGTAAGCATGTGTCTCATGAGGTATCAGCTAGCACTCTCTCCTTGCCAAGTCTGGATTTTTGCACTGTAGTTAGGATGGTTGCACCTTTTATTTCCATGAACACTAGTTTATTAACAAAGTGAATGTTTCTACTAGTATTCCTTCAAACTAAAATACTTTTTTTTTATTTTAATCCCAGATCACTTCATATAATCGCCCTTCTTTTGATTGCTCTAAGCACCTTAAACTCAAATCCTTGAAATGTGTTGTATCAGCTCATTAGCTGAGGGAGGGAGTACTCTTTATTCTGTGTGATATTGCCCTGGGCATGGTCTCTCACTCTTGCTGCCTATAGTTTAAACTCAGATTTCTTAGAAGTGTCCTGCCCTCCTGTGACTGTATCCTTGCTGGTTGATTTACGTCTTTCACTCCCCAATTCTGTTCCGTCTCCCCTGTCTCATTGGCACTCTCTCTTATTCTTCTTTCTACCACCTGCTCTTATTAGGGTGCAGACACCTTTTTTCTCAAGCAGCACACATGGTTAATTGTACTATAAATGATCAAAATAATTTCAAAATAATGTCAAAAGCGATAAAATATTTTGACTTGCGATGGTTCTTGTTTGTTTTTATAGTGGGTGTTTACTTTCTAGAGTTACCACCTTACTTTTCTGACTCAAAGAACAGTGACAACTCTGGTGTAAACTTGGACATATACTCTGTAGAACCAGATTGATTGTCCAGGCACTTCCCAGAGTTTGTCAACTGAAAGAATTTAGCACAGATCCAAAAGTACCTATAAATGCTTATATCTTATTTTCTGCCTTGTATGATTAATGCTACTGAAGCTAATTTTATTTGCTGCATACACATATTTTTCAGGTGAAAGGTCTGGTGAAACAGCACATAGACTCATTCAACTATTTCATCAACGTGGAGGTATGTGCTTACCTGGTGGGAAGAGAGGAGCTTGCAGTACTCAGAAAAGGCACATGGTTTTGTTTTATTTTTTTTCCCCTCCAGATAAAGAAAATCATGAAGGCCAATGAAAAAGTCACAAGTGACGCTGACCCAATGTGGTACCTGAAGTAAGCATGAAATGATTTCCATCATACTATCTCCTGGGTTTGTTGTTG